TATGGTAAGTCCATACAATAGGATTGTGTGCAGCTATTAAAAGGACATTTAGAAATGAGAACAAAGAACATGTTATATGGAAAAGTCACCAAGCTACATGGTTAAGTTAGAAAAAAAAAAAAACTACAAAAATGGTGACTATATGATCACTTCTGTGAAATGAAAGACAACAGTTATGAAAGTAGATGAAACTCTCACACAAATCTGTGTGTATGTGTATGTTTGTGCAATCATACACAAATTTATATTGTGTCCCTCTCCCACCTAGTAATTACTGAAATGCAGCTAAAATGACCAACTTTGGATATTTTTATTTTTTATTTGATTTTTTGATATTTTTTTGATATTTCAGAAGTATTATTTTTTTTTCTAAATTTATACTATTTTATCTTTTATACTTTAATGTTTTGAATGTTTAGAGCCTATCTAGGCAGAGATAATAGATCTTCTTACTTCCTTTGCATTTCATAGAACTCTAAAAAATTCTTAGTGAAATATTACATCAAAAACTTGAAGTAAAACACATATTAAAAAAAAATACATGTCATCTTCCTCCAAATCATTTTTATTTTTCATTTTGTGAGAATGTTATAGGAACTCCATGGTTCTTATCCTTAGATTTGTAGTTAAAAACAATTAACATGGAATTTAGAAAGATGGTAACGATAACCCTATGTGCAAAACAGAAAAAGAGACTCCTATGTATAGAACAGACTTGTGGACTCTGGGAGAAGGCGAGGGTGGGATGTTTCAAGAGAACAGCATTGAAACACGTATATTATCTAGGGTGAAACAGTTCACCAGCCCAGGTTGGGTGCATGAGACAAGTGCTCGGGCCTGGTGCACTGGGAAGACCCAGAGGGATTGGGTGGAGAGGGAGGTGGGAGGGGGGACCGGGATGGGGAATAGATGTAAAAAAAAAAAAAAAAGATACACTATGGTTGTGATAAAAAAAATAAATTAAAAAAAAAAAAAGTTAAAAAAAAAAAAAACAATTAACACAGAAATCCTTTATATTTGTACAAGGAAGAGAAATTCTCGGCCTTAAATGAAAGCTAATTTCCAGAAGAAGCACAATGAATCAACCAACTTCTCAATTAAAAAACACTAAATGAAAACAGATTACTACTACCCAGAGGCAGATTCAGTTTTGTTCTCTGTTGTCATCTTCTAAGCTTTTGAAATTATGAAAGGAATTCAGATCTACACTACTCAAATTTGATATAATAGTCCAACTTAACAGTGCCCTCTTCTGGTGCCATGTTTCACATGCAGCTACTTGTTTAGTTGCCAGTGGTGTCTGACTCTTTGCCAGCCTATGGACTGTAGCCCCTCCAGGCTCCTCTGTCCATAGGATTCTCCAAGCAAGAATACTGGAATGGGCTGCCATTTTCTTCTTCAGCAGGTACTTAATCAATGTTAATAAAAAGGGAGGGGGGCTGAACTTGGAAAAGATGTTTGAGAAAAACCATTTTGAAACCTAGAAGTAAAAGGTTTTAGTTTTCTATTCTAAAACAAAAATCCAGTTGTGAGTATAATGGGGGTTGACAGGGCTGGGGAGAGAGGAAAATGGGAAGTTGTTTGCAGTAGTATTGCAGTGCTAGTTGCTCAGTCATGTACAGGGACCAAACCCAGGTCTCCTGCACTGCAGGCAGATTCTTTACCATCAGAGCCACCAGGAAGATTCCAGAAAGTTGTTTAATGGGCATAAAAAATTCTGGACTTTGCTTGTACAACACTGTGAATATACTTAGCATTACTGCACTGTACACTTAAAATGGTTAAGTTGGTAAATTTTAGGTTATATGCATTTTAACACAATTAAAAATAAAAATAAATAAATCCATTTGAAGTATAAATAGTTCGGGTTGATGTCAGCAGCTCTAAGTTGAAACTGTTTTCACCTCAAGTTAAATCTTTACCATAAACCAAACCCGTGTGGATTTGATACAATTTTTAATTCCATTCATTTTACTAAAACAGGCACATGTTTCTCTTAATTTACTGAGACTATAGCTATAAGACAACTAATTTCCACTTTAACTCTTGAAGTCTCTAATCCTTCAAGATAAAAAGATTGTGAAAATGGTATGGTTTTTCCAGAAGTCATGTATGGATGTGAAAGTTGGACTATAAAGAAAACTGAGCACCGAAGAACTGACGCTTTTGAACTGTGGTGGTGGAGAAAACTCTTGAGAGTCCCTTGGACAGCAAGGAGATCAAACCAATCAACCCTAAAGGAAATCAGTCCTGAATATTCATTGGAATGACTGATGCTGAAGCTGAAACTCCAATACTTTAGCCACCTGATGCGAAGAAGTGACTCATTGGAAAAACCCTGATGCTGGGAAAGATTGAAGGCAGGAGGAGAAGAGAACAATGAAGGACGAGATGGTTGGATGGCATCACTGACTCGATGGACATGAGTTTGAACAAGCTCGGGGAGTTGGTGATGGACAGGGAAGCCTGGCATGCTGCAGTCCATGGGGTCGCAAAGAGTCGGACACAACTGAGCAACTGAACTGAACTACTTCATTTATTTCAGGAAATAATAAAATATATATATATATATGTATGTATGTATGTATATATATGTATGTATATGCATGCATGCTCAGTCACTTCATTCATGTTTGAATCTTTGTGACTCCATGGACTGTACTCTGCCAGGCTCCTCTGTCCATGGGACTCTCCATGAAAGAATACTGGAGAACCTGTCTGCCAATGGAGGAGACATAAGACACTCCCCATTCAATTCCTGGGTCAGAAAGATCCCCTAGAAGAGGGCATTGTTACCTACTCCAGTATTCTTGCCTACATAATCCCATGGACAGAGGAGCCTGGTGGGTACAGTCCATGGGGTCACAAAGAGTTGGACATGACTGAAATATACACACACACTCTAAGGTTTGAATTGTACAACTGGGTAGAAGGTTTAACATTCACTGAAATGAAGACTAGGAAAGGAGCAAGTTTGGAGGGTCAGGGATAGACCAACTGTTCTCAAAAGGTATTATCCTACCACCCCCTGCCACTCTCCCACTCTGCCCAGGGGATATTTGAGAGTACCTGGAGACATTTCTAATTATCACACCAGGAGGCAGTTGGGGCCGGGTTAGGGGACATGCTACTGGCTCCGGTTGGCATACTGCTAAACATCCCACAATGCACAGGACAGGGTCTCACCACAAAGAATGATCTGGCCTCAAATGTCAATAGTGCCAATAGCAAGAAACCTTGGGTTGGAATCCTCTCTTCTGAATTTGTCCACTCTTTCTCAGCCTTTGCAGCAGGCTTCTCCTCTTCTAACCCTATTTACTCAATAGTCTGTCCTTATCAAGCACACTTCTCTTTTCTCTACATTTTCTCTTCAGAATATCACCCATAACATCAACTACCACATCTATGTTACTGACTCCCACAACTTTGTCTAGTCCCAACTGTTCTTCTAGCTCTAGAGCATTGTTTCTTTTGATTTCCCTTTACATTTTTTCATTAACTTAGTGCTACATCTCTTGTCTTTATAAGTAGCATCTGATAGAAAACCACAGGGTCATTTATTTCACAGACTGAGTATCTAGTTTGTGCAAAGTGCAACACTAGTACTCAGAGTAAGATAGTGATGCTGATGAGAGGTAATCATGGTAATTGTTTTAAATGCATTATCCTTGTAAAGCAATTATCCATCAATTAGAAAAAAAAAACCTTTAATGTATTATCCCTGATTATGACAATAGTTTTACAAGGAAAAAATTATTATTTCCTGGGAAGGAAAGGTGCAAGTGTTTAACTACTTAAATATAACAGTGTTTGTAAATAGCAGAGTATTTTAAAAGTCAGTTCTATTTTGACATTAAGGATTGCACTCTCTCCATTAAAAAACACTGGAACAGAGCTGGAAAAGTGTCCATAGTCACAGGGAGGTGGATGTGAATGATGAAGGTCTAAGAAGTTTTGCCTGCCTGTTTAGTTGCCTCTGACTGTGAACCCATGGACTGTAGCCCCCAGGCTCCTCTGACCAGGGGATTCTCCAGGCAAGAATACTGGAGTGGGTAGCCAATCCCTTCTCCTGGAGATCTTCCCCACCCAGGGATCAAATCAGTGTCCCCTGCACTGCAGGCAGATTCTTTATCATCTGCACCACCAGGGAATCCCTAAGACATTCTAGTAGCCTTTTATTCTAAGCCACAGTGTACCTGCTTCGGTTACTTACCATATATCACAGAATATAATACACCAGCCATAGTAGGATGAATCATTATTTTCCTTAACTGTAGAGAAGGAAAAAATGGCAATGCAAGTATGACATACTGTCAATTGTCTGAGATTTCCTAGGTGTAGAAATATTTTTAAAAAAATAAGCCTTCAGAGATTTCTAATTTGTTAAAATATGAAGAAAAAACCTGATCTTAGATTCTATGACATACGGTGAATTTGTTTTCCACTTTCAAATTCCATGGTCGGTGCCTGTGTGCTATCTGCACTTCAGTCAAGTAAGACGTTTGTATATTGCTTTCTAAAGGGTCCTAGGTAATTTCATGACTCTCTTGTGCTTCTACAACTAGAACGTAAAGCTCTTAGCTTTTCAATCACCTCTTTGTTCTCCACACAAACACTCCCGCCTCCATCCGCAGTGCCTTTCCACAATCTATGCAGATGTTGCCGTTTAAGAGTAAACCTGAATTTGTTCTAATCTTAGGATTGCATAGATATTATAAGACTGTCCACAGATTTAGTTACACTGGGGGCGGGGGAGACATTCTATTAAATAAACGCTTCTTTTTTTTTAAGACCCATCCTCGCAGAAACGTTAAAATAGGGTGGGGTAGAGAGCGAGGGCGGAGGCAGAGAGGGGATATACGTCTCAGGATACAGGAAATACGGAAAGAGCGAAACCCAGAGGAAGCTCTGTTGCCTGGAGGGGACCCGCCGCCATCTCAGGTCTCTTGGCCTCGCCAGGGCCCACTGGAGAGAGCTGACACCCAGGTCCTATAATCCTTATGGGGGACCAACCTTGTACCTCCGGGAGATCCACGCTCCCACCTGGAAACACGCGGGAAACGAAGCCTCCAAAAAAGCGGTGCCTCCTAGCTCCACGTTGGGATTATCCAGAAGGAACCCCGAACGGAGGTAACACCACTCTCCCTTCCACACCTCCTCCAGCATCACCGGGTCTGAAGTCGCATCCACCTCCTCCGGAGAAGTAGTACAATATACTTCTTCCACCCTAAACCAGGTCAGATTCTTTCTCATTTGGGACAATCAGGCTCTCTCAAACTTAATTATGCATTTCCCCAGATCTCCTTCTCCCTTTCCCTATTCTTTTCAAGATTTCAAAATTAAAAAAAAAAATGCAGGCGTTAAATAGCTCTTTCACAAAATATGTGGGGGTGAGTTTATGGATATTTAATAACATTAAGTAATTATTTTTAAATATATTTTTCAGTAGACATATCTGTTGATTTGCTTGAAAGTCAGTTGGGCCCAGGTGAGAGGTACAAATGTTAATGACTTGATAATTGTTAAAGCTGAGTGATATATACATGGGGATTCATTAAACTGTTCTTGCTACTTTTGTATATATTTAAAGCTTTTCCATTCAAAAAATGCCTGATTCAAGATCAATAACATCATTGTATTGACGGCCTAATTCCTATAGCCATAGCTTTGTGCCAACAGAGTATTTTAAAGTGAGCCTTCAGAGTTGTGTATTTCTGTGTATAACAGGAGAATTTAATGATTTAAAAATATATAATATGGTAAATCAAACCCAAGTACCATAATATTTGCTTGCTCAAGGTAGCCAGGAAGCTTGGGGGATGGACCTTGAGCCATCAAAGAGGAAGGGGTAACTTTGGGTGGGCCTTAAAGAATGAGTGACATCTGCCTTTGTGGAGGGGGTGGGAATGCTTTTCTGGCCTAGCTTTTCCAGAACAAAAGCCCCAAGGCAGGTTTGTGCTAGGAAGAGCTTGTCTATAATCTGAGTGTATGAGAAAAACTAGGAGGTAAAATAGTGTTGCAGGGGTTGAATATTTATGGTAAGGAGTGTAATCCATAAGCAGTGGAAACCATTGAAGATTTTCAAGGAAATGGTATATTTTAGGAGTCCGGTTTTTACTATCAGGAAAACAATCTTCAATTAGATGAGCTTACAGGATGCAAAAAATAAAGTCTGACTCACAACTCATAGATTCTTGTACTCCAAATGAGACATGGCATACTTTCTTCATTTATGCAATAAACCTTTAAAGAACTGCGGCAATGGACTAAGAATTATGCTGGGAACTGTAGGGGTTCGATAACTAAAGCACATAGGAGAGAAACAGATATTGAGTGAATCCGTCAATGATTGGTGGGATTACAGTGGCAACTAAGAAGTTCTGTACTTGGGGCTTGGTGGTAGTGCATAGTGAAAGAATGAGCTCCATTGTGCTTGAAAGCTTCACTCAATCATTTCTTAATGCCTGATTTCCCTCAGCTTTACCTCTCTGTTCAAAGGGGTAGAGTTGGGGTAAAGGGGAACCATAAGAATAGGAGTGCTTAAACAGAAAACAAAGGAGGTTGTATAGGGCAAAAAATGCAAGAAATATGTAATTTCCTCCAGTGATTCAAATCATTGAAATTATAGTAACATTTACTGAACATCTTTATGTGCCAGACACTGTTCTATAAAACTTCCTAGAGCCTATCCTCTTAATTGCTGTGCAATAGATCCCTTCTAATACTGTCTGTATAACTTTTTCAGGAATATATAACTGAAATAACTGAAATGGGGGTATGGTAGAACATAATAACTCGAGGATGCCGTGGGAAAGAGAGGAACAGTAAAAGAAGAAATGATTTAACCTTATTTTAATTATTTTTCAGTCTATGAGGGATTGCAGTATGACTCCATTTCCTTGGTGTATTCGTAAAATAGTTCACTCAGTGAAGACAATGAAGATTATTGACATTGCCACCCTGCTTTTTGTGATGTCCTACACCAGGAAGTTGTGATTTTTAAGGTAATCTCTTTACCGCTGCTGCTACTGCTAAGTCACTTCAGTTGTGTCCGACTCTGTGCGACCCCATAGACAGCAGCCCACCAGGCCCCGCCGTCCCTGGGATTCTCCAGGCAAGAACACTGGAGTGGGTTGCCATTTCCTTCTCCAATGCATGAAAGTGAAAAGTGAAAGTGAAGTCGCTCAGTCGTGTCTGACTCTTTGCGACACCATGGACTGCAGCCCACCAGGCTCCTCTGTCCATGGGATTTTCCGGGCAAGAATAGTGGAGTGGGTTGCCATTACCTTCTCCGAATCTCTTTACTGAAAACTTATTAAAGAAGGAGGAGAAATAAGAGTTGATTATAACACATTAAAATAGTTAGGCAAACAAAAAGCTAGCACCAATGATAAATTGAAACCATTTTCTACATTATACGAAACCATATATTCCATATAATAATAATGCTATCTATAAGCTGTTTTGTTATATTCACTCCTAATTACCTTATAGTTTCTTGTATCATGGAGAAATGTATCTTTTAAACCACATTTTCAGATTATTGCTGGTAAATGGGAATGTGATTGATATTGTAACATACTGATTTTATATGCTGTGAACTTTCTGATTTATATTTGTTCTAATATTTGTAGATTTTTTGTATTGTCTGTTAATTAATTATATTGTAAATAATGGAAATTTCTTCCTTTCCAATATTTATTTTTTAATTAGTCTTACTGTGTTAGCTAGGATCTTTGGTATAACGAAATATAGTAGCAGTGATAGAGGATTCTTTTGCTCCTGAATTTACAAGGGAATTTTTATAAATGTTTCACCATTTTTAGTAAATTTTCTTTGTCAGGCTATGTAAGTTCCTTTATATTCTTAGTTTTCTAAGAGCTTTTATTATGGATGAGTATGGAGCTTCTTCTCCAAATACTGATCACATGGAGTTTTTTCTCCGTTAACAAGACACTGAGACTATGTGATAAATTACAGTATTCAGTTTTCTAATATATTTCTTGCTTCTGGTTTCATCAGGCCTTACCATTGAATATTCTGTCTCTTATTTTAATAACTTTTCCTTTTGTTTTCTTTTTGTTTGCTCTTTTTCTAATTTATTTGGACCATTAACTCAGTAATTTTAAATCTTCTTTCCTAAAATAATTTATTACCATAAGTTTTCTACTATGTACTACTTTAGAAGAATTTCATAGGTTTTTATATGGAGTATTTTTATTATTATTCAATTATTATTTTATAATTGCTCTTAAGATTTATTTTTGACTCATGAGTTATTTGGGTTTTTTAAATTTATAAACATGGATCTCTTTTTTAGAAATCATACTGCTAAATGATTAATCCAATTACAGTTAACTTCATTTTATTTTCTATTTAAAAATATTTAATGTTTTTTATTCTGGTAACAAAAAGCAAAATTATACACAGGCTCCTCATCTCGATAGATTTCAGCAATATAAAACTTTTCCTTTCATTAAATACATAGGAAAACTGTGATTATGCTGTTCAATGATGGAGTTATTGCTGATATTTATACTTGTAGTTTTAAATCTTTTATTTTGATCTAATTCTACATCTAAAGAAAAATTGTGAGAATATTACAAAGAACTCCCATACACTCTTTATCCAGGTTCACCAATTACCATTTTGCCATGTTTGCTTTATAATTTTCTTTTTCCGTTTCTCCCTCTCATTCCCCTTTTCTCTTTTCCCTTTATTGTTGTCTACCTCCCCTGCCCCTTAGCCTGTCTTCTACCTCCCCCTCTTCCTGTCTCCTTCTCTCTCTTTGAACTGTTTAACAGTAACTTGGAGACTTCAAGCTCTTTTACTTGTAAATACTTCAGTGTATATTTTCTCAGAATAATACCTTTTTCTTACATAACCTCAGTACCTATCAAAATAGAAATTGGACCTTGTTCCAGCTTTTTGTTTCATAAACCTTTATTGTCAAGATTATCCACTTATACTTATTGAAAAAGGGATGACTTTGGGAGAACATATATTTCAAATGGACAATGTAAGCTCTATTATAGTTCTTTTTCTCCTAGCTTTATTGAAATATATTTGACATATAACAGTGTAAGTTTTAAGTGCACAGTACGGTGTGATGATTTGCTAAATGTATATATTACAAAATGATTACCCACAATAAGATTAGGTAAGACATCAATCATATAATAGAATTAATATTTTTTTGTGTTGAGAACTTGTAAGATCTACTGTCCTAGCAACTTTTAAGTATACAATACAGAATTGTTAACTATACTCACTATACTATAGTATTAACTATGCTATAACTATAGTTATGTAACTATATATTGATACTATAACTATAGTGTTGTAGTATAATGTACATCATGCTGTAGATTAGCTCCTCAGAATTTATTCCTGTTACAACTGAAACTTTATATCCTTTGACCACCGTTATACATTTCTCCTACTGTCCCATCCCTGGAAACCACCAATCTACTCTTGTTTCTATGAGTTCAGTTTTTTTTTTTTTTTTTTAAGATTCCATGTATAAGTAAGAGCATTCAGTATTTATCTTTTTCTGTCTGACTTACTTCATTTAGCCTGATACCCTCAATGTTTATCCACTATGTCATAATTCCCTTCTTTTTATAGCTGAATAATATTCCTGTGTGTGTGTATCACATTTTCTTTGTCCGTTAATCTGTCAGTGACACTTAGATTGTTTCTACATCTTGCTTATTGTAAAGAATGATGCAGTAAAACTGGGATTGCAAGTATCTGGTGATCGTGACTTAATTTCCTCAGACATACCCAGAAGTGGAATTGCTGGATCATATGGTAGTTCTATTTTTAATTCTTTGAGGAACCTCCATACTGCTTTCCATAGTAGATATTTCACTTCACATTCCCATCAAGGAATATGCAAGGGTTCACTTTTCTCAATATCATCACAGGCATTTTTTATCTCCTGTCTTTGTTAATAGCCATTCTAAAAAGTGGGAGATATCTCACTGTGGCTTTGATTTCCTTTTCCTTAATGATTAATGATGTTTAGTACCTTTTCACATACCTGTTGGCGATCTGTATGTATTTGGGTAAATGTCTATTTAGGTCTTTTGCACCTTTTTCAATTAGATTATTTGTTTTTCTGATATTGAATTGAATGAATCCCTTATATATTTTGGATATTTCTTATCAGATATGTGTTTTAAAATGTTTTTCCCCATTCCAC